ACTGCATACAAATGTATACAGATGGACAGCCAGCTTCCTGAGCTGACCGCCAAACAAAAAAAGATTAAACAGATAGAGAGAGAGAAAAAAAAGAGAAAATAAGAATAGTAAATAAGGAAATAATAAAAATAAAAATAAAATGAAATAACTACTAACATAAACAAATCAGGAATACATAGAGTTTACAGGAAGATTGGCACAAGAAAAGCAAGGACATACATAGTGATAAGAACAAACATTATTAGGGTAAAAACGAACAATAAAGTGATTCCAAAAAGTTTTCTTTACGTGTAATTTAATAGTTTTTTTAGATAGAGAGATTTTTACAGGTGGAAGAGAATTCCATAAAAGAGGGAAGAGGGTGAAAAAAGTGTGATGTGAGGAGTGATGAGAAGTAAAATTAAAAGATAACTTGTGAAATGTAGATGATCGAGTAGAGGTAGACGAAAAAGAGAAATAATTTGAAGCATTAAAGTTAGAAGGTGAATCAGAGAAGTGAAAATTATTTAGAAAAAAGGAAATATCAGCTAGTTCAAATGTCATCATGAGGGGTAACATATTTAATTTAATGAGTCTAGTTTTGTAATCAGAATGGTAATCGTTTAAAATGAACTTAGTAGCTCGACGTTGTATTCTTTCTAGAAATAAAATGTCCTTTAAAAAATGAGGACGCCAGACAGTAGAAGCATATGTTAGCTTTGATCTAATTAAAGATGTATATAGCAACTTCCTAGTAGGTATATCAACAGCAGAACTAAAAGTTCTCCGTAGAAGACCTAGTGTTTTATATGCTGTAGCAGCTAACTGCTTGTAATGAGAAGACCATGACAGATCTTCCGAGAATGGAACCCCTAAATCCTTTTGGGACACAACTGTAGAGACAGGAGAGCAGTTTAGATAATATGTTGGGGAAAGAAGAGAGGAAGTAGAAAAGAAATGTATGACTGAACATTTAGTTACATTAAATGGTAGACACCAAGTATTACTCCATTGTGATAACTCATTTAGATCACGTTGAATCTGTACTGTGTCAGATGGAGAAGAGACAGACTTAAGACACTTAGTGTCATCTGCAAACATAAGCAGGCGAGAATAAATTTGCAATGAATGTAAATCATTAACATATATTATGAAGAGTAAAGGGCCTAATATACTCCCCTGAGGTACTCCTGATAGAACTGGTAGTGTAGGAGATAAAGTGTTATTGATAGCCACACAATGAGATCTATCACTAAGATAATGATGCAATAGCTGCCACAAATTACCACTAATACCTAATGAACGTAGCTTCAACAGCAGAAGATTATGTGGGACTTTGTCG